TATATATATATATGGATGCAGTAGTCTCACCAACAGCAAAGAAAGAGAAAATGAGGAAAGGGACTAACAGAAGAAACGGAAAAATAACAAAAGCGTAAAGTTGAAAAACACGATTAAGAACTAGAATATATTGCCCGGCTGGTTGGATGCTTCCTTATTGGTAAAACCAAGTTCAACCTCCTTTATTACTTTCTTCATCCCCCCCTCAAGTTGGAATTGGTGAAGATCACTCAATCCCAACTTGGAAAGAAGATTGGTGAACTGAGGAGCAGCAAGAGCCTTGGTGAACAAATCTGCAAACTGAAGAGATGAAGGAACAAACTTTGGCAGGATGAGGCCAGACTTAAACTGATTTCTAACAACATGACAATCAATATCCAAATGCTTGGTACGTTCGTGGAAGACAGGGTTGGCAGTGATGTGCAAGGCAGCCTTATTGTCACACCATAAAGGAATAGGTGTGACCAATGGGATAAAAAGATCCTTCAAAATGTATGTAACCCACTGTAATTCACAAACTGTGCTGCCCAAGCTCCTATACTCTGCTTCAGCCGAAGAACGGGAGACAGTGGTTTGCTTTTTTGTCTTCCAGGAAATTAATGCTGAGCCAAGGAAAATGCAGTATCCGGTAAGGGATTTTCTGGTGTCAAGGCAAGAACCCCAGTCAGCATCGGAATAAGCTTCCAAGTGGAAAGAGTTCATCGCAGGGAAAAATAATCCCTTGGAAGGACAGCCCTTAAGGTACCTAAGCAGGTGGATGGCCGTATCCCAATGGGACTGACAAGGAGCATTAACAAATTGACTTAATTGTTGCACTCCATAAGTAATATCAGGTCTGGTGAGATTCAAGTAAAGAAGACGCCCCACAAGTCTTCTGTATCTCTCTGGGTCTGTAAGTGGTGCTCCATCTCGTTCTATAAGTTTGGTACCTTTTGGTATAGGCACCTGAACAGGTTTAGCACCAATGATGCCTGCATCCTGAATGAGATCAAGGACATACTTCCTCTGGTTGACATACATTCCACGTTGATTTCGAGCAATTTCTAAACCCAGAAAGTACTTTGCAAATCCAAGATCTTTTATAGTGAAAACCTCATGTAAAAACTTTTTGGCAGTAATAATATCCTGCTCATTGGAACCAGTAATGAGCACATCATCAACATAAACCAAAAGGAATAAAAAGGAATCACCAGTGCGTTTAGTGAATAGGCAATGATCATTTTCAGACTGATGAAAACCAAAATTTTGCAGCTTAAGACATAACTCTGTATTCCATTGACGCGAGGCTTGCTTCAGGCCATATAGACTACGTTTCAATTTACAAACTTGGCCAGGTAATCCTTTGTGATAACCTTCTGGTGGCAACATGTATATCTCTTCATCCAAATACCCGTGAAGGAAAGCATTATTAATAGCCAACTGATGCATAGCCCATCCTTTCCCTGACACAATAGCCAAAAACAGTCTGACAGTAACAAGCTTCGCCACAGGTGAGAAGCTATCAAAATAATCCACACCTTGCTGTTGATGGTAACCCTTCGCAACAAGTCGTGCTTTAAACTTGTTTAATGAACCATCAGGATGTAATTTAACTCTATAAACCCATTTTGAACCTATGGCTCGTTTGTTGGGAGGTAAATCTGT